CAGGCAATTGTTTTAATTTCATTTGAACCATATTTAAAGCCTACCTTTGTTTGTTTGTTTTTTTGAGACAGGATCTCCCTATAGCCCCAGCTGGCCTGGAACTTGCTACATGGAGCAGGCTGGCCTTGAACTCACAGACATCCGCCTGCCTCTGCCTCCCAAGTGCTGGGACTAAAGGCATGTACCACCACACCTGACTTTTAAAGCCTATATTTTATGTGTATGATTAAACACAGCCTTTAGAACAAATCAGGATGATCTAAAGCTTTGATTACACAATTATAGTTAGGCTTGGTTATATCTAAATAGTGACACCCATTGCTATTTTTCCTTCATACATGCAGTTGAAGACCTTGGTTTGGTTTGGTTGTTGGTTGGTTTTCTTGAGATAGGGTCTTATGTAACTCAGACTGGCCTGAACTCCTTATGCAAGCCCCAAATGACCTCAAACTTCTGATCTGCCTGCCTCTACTTCCCAAGTGCTGGGATGACAGATTTATACCATTTTGCTCGTCACTCTAACAAGGGCTACATCTCCAGCCCTCTGTGTTTTGGTCACTGATCTTACCCAATGTATTTGAACTAATTTATACTATTTTAGTTTGTGATTTATTTTGACAAATTTTTCTTTTATTCTGCATCTGTTGATTGCTTTCTTCTTTTAGAAGCAAGAATTTAAGCTTGAGTACCACTAATATTTCTGGGGAGGTAGGGAAGGAAAGTGAAAAGTCAGAAATAGAAAAAAGGTTAAAATGGTCTGAGCCACAGAAGAGACTGGATTTCTTTCTTTTTGTTTTGTTTTGAGATAAGATCTGTTTATGTAGCTCAGGCTGGCCTAGAACTTGCTATTTGGCCCAGGTTAGACTCAAACTCAAATCTTCTTGCCTTTGCCTCCTGAAGACTGAGATTGATGTGTTAGCCCCACTCTTGGCTAGAACCTAAATTATAATTTTTTAAAAAATTTTGTTTTTTTAAAACCAAATTTATACATAAGTTTAATAAGT